ATCAACAACAAAATCGAAAGAATCAAAAGTTGCAGAAATCAAAGTTTTACTACCAAAAACAACAATTTAACATCAACAACATAAACATTAACGGCATTGTCAACACTTACATCAACAACTTGTTGCAACTGGTGTGTCCCAAGCAAATGCAGCAGACCAGGCAGAACAACAACATTATTTTCGACAACAACATCAACAACAGCACTTTTAACCACAGCAATTTCAGCAACAACTTCAACAGCAACATCCGCAAAAACAAAATCAACATTTTCAAGCGTCCTGTATTCACGTGGTATATCGAAACTCCAGATTTCAACAAAGTTGTCAAAATGTCATTCCTCATCACATCTTCATCATCTTCTCCATCATCATCTTTATCATCATCATCTTCATCATTCTCACCAAAATCTTTACCAATAACATCACCTACATCTTCGTCACCAAGCAGTCATCCTGGCAAGTAAACTTTTGTTCCAAATTACAAACCTTTCCTTTGTAACAATTTTTTTTGTAGAAATTTGTCGCCTAGAGGTCAAATTTCACAGAAGTATTCGTTTGGGAGGCATAAAGTTTTTTTTCAATAAAGCTACGAAGCATTGCGTACACTCCTTGTTGGCTTGCACGTCATTGTACTACAAAACAAGAGTTGTACATCGGTCAATACGTGTATGCTAATCTGAACACGAACCATTATTGAATGTTTGAACCTGCATTTTAGTTTAAATTTGTTTGTTTGTTTGTTTGTTTGGATATACAGCTCATTACTTTTTGAGATATCTTAAAAATTTGAGTGACTAAATTTTATTGTTGAATTTATTTCCAGATGAATCTTTCGAAAAAAACAACACCAACAATAACAAAAACAACATCAATCCTGCCAATGTTTACAAGGAGTTTGATGATGATGACGATTACGACGACGAGAACGATGACGTCATCGATCTCGATTATTTGTACGAACAGTTACGGATACCGAGACAACCTCGTCCATCCCGGTTGAAGTTCTTCACATCTCCATTCGAGCCGGTGGTGAGAGTACGAGATGGCTGGTCGAGTACGTCGTCGGTATTGCTGACGGTATCCGGATATTCGTCGGCTACGGTACGCAGTGCCGTATCGACCGGTAATCGAATGCTTGTCGAGTATTATCCGCTGGGAGTTGCTGGTGGTCGGGATGACAAAATTACGGAAGTCAAAAAATATGAAAGTAGAGTAGAGACTAAAAATTATGATGATGAGGATAATGATGATGACGTCGATGATGATGATGATGAGGATGACGACGACGATGATGATGATGATGATGAAGCGTATAATTATGATGATGAAGACGAATTCGACAAAGAGAATGAAAGTAGCAAACTTGAAAGAGATATTGATGATGACGACGACGATGATGATGAGGTTGATGATGACGATGATGATGATGATGACGAGGAAGAAAATGATGTTGATGATGAGGAAAAAGATGATGACGATGATGACGACATCAAAAAAATGTACCGCTTCAATAAAAAATTCCAAAAAATATTCCACACAACCTCATCTTCACCATCATTCATGGACATTCATCATCTTCATCATCCTCATCACATCAACCTGACACCGAATTTGGAAGCGGTATTTGCATCGGTGGAGGTCAAAAATACCCAGCACAACACAACCATACCACCATCCTCAACTTTCGATACATTGTTGGTTGTTGTTGTCGTCATCGCAACAGTTGGTTTGTTGTTGCTGGTCTTGTTGTTGTGCTGGTTTTGTTGGCACAGAACGAAGACAGCGCTAAGAAAGAAGAAAGGCAAATGCCAGGTTGGAGTTTAGATATTATCATATTATTTAATGATATTATACTTATCTGTAAACACACAGACACACTTACAAACGTACATCCAAACATACATACAGACATACCTACTAAAGGTACATCTAAGCACACACACACAAACACGCCTACAGACGATTTCTTTATTTTATTTCGTTCGTGCTAATTGAGAAGAAATGAGAAGAAATTCGCATAATCATTGTTTGTTGAAAAATATGACCTTTATATTTTCATTCACTATTTAGTTTGGCTCGCTTCGGCCTGGATTTAACAACACTATACATACCCAAAAACAAATTAAACACACAAACATACATGCACACATATATACATACAAACACAAACACACAAGCATACATGCACACACACATACATAGCATACACACACACACAAAAACACATACACACTCACAAACATACAGATTGGTCAGATGCTGTTGGATGCAAACTCCATGGAACGATCTGATATCCAGCTGATACAGTGCTCCAAAATCAAGAACAACAGAGATGGTGTGGTAGGTGGAAGGATGGATTGATGGATGAATGGATGGATGAATGTATGGATGGATGGATTGATGGATGGATGGATGGATGGATGGATGGATGGATGGATGGATGGATGGATGGATGGATGGATGGATGGATGGATGGAC